GTCACGCGGGAGGTGCACTGGACCGACAGGGTGCGGAATGCGTGAACGGGATTGTGTAGAATCCGCGGATCCCACTAAAACTGTCATATATGGAAGGGAGTGTGCGTTGTGGAACGCGTAGACGCAGGCTAATGTCAGACCGATCACTTGCGCCAAATCCTCGTATGGCATGACACTTACTCTGAGTTGGCCCGCTGTCACTGGCATCCTCCCCGTGCCCAGAAAAATTATTAACACAGAATATGGAGATGGGAGGTCATTGCGCTTTTTAATTAAATGCGGCCCGGAGAACAACGATTCAAGCAGCCAACGGCTCCTGCGGTTGTTACGTCTTGCGGGCATTTTGGCCTCATTAAACTTGAAGGTACGGCGGAATCCGAGGGTCCAAGGCAGAATCCGAAACGTCAAGCTAATAAAACTCTTGTTCCAGGAATTATGTCTCTTTAGTCGCGACTACTTCCTGGAACTGTTCCCTCTGCTTCTAATAAGAGACGGGCGAAATGTAGTCGTTCATGCTAAGAGAGCGATCGCCACACCTGACAAGTCACTGTACTGCGGGAAGATGCATGGTTCAGCAAGAGCCCAAGTCTAGGATTAGGGGGTTCAAACAGACCACGGACACCGCCAATTATGTGCTCATAAATACTGTGCACCGTCAAACTTTGGGTACTAGGATCAACGAAAGTTTGCTGGCTCCACATGTTCCGATGACGGTATTTTGACACGGGGGCCGCGAACCGCCATTAGGTGGGTTTGCTTGACATTGCTGCCTAGCGGTTTGGTTCTTGTCCCAAAGTGCTATCAATCCGAGCGGCTGTTGGGGACCCGCCTATATTCCAAGTCTCCAAGATCCCTCATGAACACGTCTTCGCTTTTAGTAGCAGGTGGTCAAACTGTAATTTATTAGTCCCTACACGAGCCATGTATGGCTCGCTCGTCCTAAGAGGGCGATCGCCACGCTAGATACTAGAAGAGCCTCAATTCTCACTGTACTGCGGAGTGATTCATTGTGCACCAAGAGCCCCAGTCCAGGATAAGGGGTTCAAACACAGCGAACGCCGCCGTTGCTGTGCTTATAAAGACTGTGCACTGACAGACTTTGGGTGCCAGGATCAAGTAACGTATGCAGGCTCCAACCACAAATGTCAACAGACCATTTTCAAGTGAGTAATCCAGTCCATTACTATTGGTCGGCATCATTGAATGAGGCGGTTGTGAAGATGCGTCGGTTCCCACAGACGCCGTAGCAAGCGCAAGGTAACGACAGTCCCGAGAATTGTGCGCATAAGCAGACCTTTGGACT